AATGAAACATGTATAAATGAATGATTGTTGCCTAAATACACGACATATATATATATATATATATATATATATATATATATATATATATATATATATCACGCTAGATAACATGCTTCTTCCCCAGATACTGTGACTAATGTCTGCTCAGCATAGTTTTAGCACAAACCACAGGTGTGGTCTTTGTGCGTTGAACAAACACAAAAATGCGCCTGAGCAAGCACCTGCAATACGGATTAGCTAGCCGCTCTAGTAGACGTGTATCCTCGAATACGAGTAACCAAGAAAGGACAATAAAAGAACAGAATTCAGGAAGACAGAAGATAGCGATAATGTCACTAAGACGCAATGGGTTACTGGGATTGAAAGAGAATGAGAAGACTTTAGTGAGGAGGAAGGGCAATAAAAGAACAGAAAGATTGATGATGGTGATTGGTGCTGCATTTAAATTTTTTAAGATTGTAGGTGACAGAGAAGCAAGAATTTGTAAGAGACTTCCACAAGCGAGAATGTGAGAAATTAAACAATTAGAATAGAACTTAGGCTTATAAACAGATTATCTTAAAAATAAAATGATGAAACCTATTTGCCAGTCTAGTAATAGGCTTAAGTTCATGCGGTTGAGGTGTCACGGAAAAGACATCAGTAGATCAATTTCTATGAAAATATTTATGAGAAAAAAAAAGAAGGAAGCCACGTAACAACGATGGAAAAGTGACTGATGTTGAGAGGCCAGGTCAGGACCGATAGCATTAATTGAATACGTACCATTATCTTTCAATTCCGATATGTTACCAAATGTCCTTTCTTTCTCTGTTTCCATCCTTGTGCGTACGTCAATCTTCCTGCCCAATCTCTCATTCTCTCTCTCTCTCTTTCTCTCTCTCTCTCTCTCTCTCAGTATCTCTCTGTTTCTTTTTACTACTCCCCCTCTCTCCCATTGTCAGCTATGCCTCTTCTTTTCTATATATTGTATACGTACCATTGTCTCCTTCAATTCAGCCATGTTACCAAATGTCCTTTCTTTCTCTCTTCGTTTCCATCCTTGTTCGTACGTCAATCTCCTTGTCCACTCACTCTCTCTCAGTATCTTTCTGTTTCTTTTTACTACTCCCCCTCTCTCCCATTGTCAGCTATGCCTCTTCTTTTTCTCCATACCTATTCCTCTTCACGCCATCTTTTCAAGTAGTTGTAAATTCACGTCTTTCTTTATTCTGTTTTTGTCTTTTCTCCGATTTTCTCCATTTTTCTTCCACTTACTTTTCCTCCATTACATTTCTCTCCGATCTCTTTTTCTCTCTAAATCATTCCTTCTCGCTCTCCCTCATTAACTTACTGTCTATGTCTCTTATTTTTTTCCTGATCCTCTTTCTCTTTTAATACCCTCTAACTCTTTATCTTCCCATTCTTCTCTTACACTGTCACACTCTCGGGGCTTACGGCCACATCACGTTGCCATCCGGTTAAGAAACGTCGAGACTGGTCAGTACCTAGATAGATGGGTAACCACTTGGGAATACAAGGTGCTGTAAGTTTGGATGTGCGGGTGGTGTAATGGACAATCGTTCGGAATTGTTCATCTGAGTTCCAGTTGGATTCGTTATATTCACTTACATGCAAATACTTTTGGCAAAGGTAAGATCCACCTCTTCTTTCCACAGCGATAGGTTAATTAGTAAATCTTTATCACTAAATCATCTCTATCTATAAAAGATAGGATGTGTGTGTGTGTGTGTGTGTGTGTGTGTGTGTGTGTGTGTGTGTGTGTGTGACGAATGCACGGCCGCAATTTTCGACGGATTTGCACCAGAATTTACATGCACATGATCCAAGTTAAAGGACAGGCCAAGACCGACTTTGCATTTCCCAACATTTCGATAGTGGAAATAATCAATTTTTTCATGCTTCTACGACAGTTTTCATGTAGTTTGCGGCCATTTTCTACTGGCCAGAGTGAGAGCCTATAGCTGGCTGCCACGAATAGGCAGGAAGATTCTATTGACCAGCGTGAGAGACAACAGCTGACTGACACGAATATTAACTAGCATGCGAGCATGCAAAAAAAAAAATCGATAGCTGCATTCGTCACAAGTGGGAAAAATTTAAATCTGCATGGCACTTTACTCCAATTGGCTCATTCGCTTGCTTTAATTCAACGTTGATTCTGATTCCGCAGAACTGGGTTGGGTGTGAAAAAAAGTATTTGTTGTTAACATTCTTTTTTCATTCGGTTTTTCCAGTTACGAGTCCTTTTTAAAGCTGATCGTTTTGTGTTCATTTTGTTTAGTTCTTTTTTCGTAACAGATTTAATGTTTAGTATAGAACTTAGAAAAAACTCGCAGTGTGAGATAGGCAAGAAGTAAGGCATGTAGCAACATCAGCACGGCAAAGGGCACTCCTTTAAAGGCAAGGAAGGGCAAAATATTTTAAGTCAAGTGATAGCGATTGCTGTTTGAGTCGTACGATTTTTTAATCAAGCACGGGCAACGCCGGCCCATGCTGCTAGTTATTACCTCATAAAAAAAATCTGAAACTATAAAAAAAATATTTCCTGGCTTTAAATAACCTTCAAAATGATGATAACCCGTAGAAAACGAATCAATCAATTTTTTTCCTTTTTCTTTCTACACTCTTTCTTTTTTGGCCGCTCTCTCTCTCTTTTGCCCTAAACCTTCCCGCTCTCAGATACTAACACTCTATCCCTCTTATATTTCCTCTCCTTTTTTTCCTGAATCTCTTTCTTTTTTAGTTAGTCTCTCACTCATACTCTCCTTTTTTCTGTCACTCTCTCTACTCCGTTTTATTCTTCTTTCTTTCTGTTTTCCCTCTGTCATTACCTTTTCTACGCACTCTCTTTTTACCCCTATACCTTTCCTTCTCCCTGACAATCATTCATTTACTATCATTCCTATATTCCTTTGCTTCCTCTTTCTTTATCTGTCACGTTCGCTCTTTTTCCTGTACCTCAAATCCATTTCTTCTTTCTTTCATTCTCTCTCTTTCTCTCTCGCGCGCGTTTGAATTATTCTTCTCTCCTTCTCTTTACCTCAGTCTCTCCATCTTCTTCACGTCTTTCTCTATTCCTACTCCCTAAACCCTTTTCACTCTCTCTTTTTTTTACACTTGTTCATCTTTCTGTAACTCTTACTTTAAAGGTATGTTTATCTTTCTCGCAGAAATTTCCCCGTACAGTTTGTATTCAATAAGTACCCCTCCTCCAACTCACTTTTACGCAATCTTCTAATGGTTTCTTTTGAATCAGATATCGTAAGTATTACCAAAGCTGATCCAATATCTCATTCTAAACTTACCATATTTGCGTACTAAAGACCTGTGATAGAATTTTAACAGTTACAAAACACGCGTGAAAGATAAATTCTATTAACATAGAAACACAGTAATCTTAGTAGAAGGTGTTATGAAACAGTGACCCAGATTCGAATTATCTTATGTAATTTAAAAGTATTAAACCTAGAAATAGATTTCAAATTTTCAATTTTCTTTGACACATACATCTAAGAAGATATGCTGATTTTCAAAGTGTAGCTTAAATGTGGTACTAGGCCAAAAGTATGTGACACAGAGAAAGGATAAAACTCACTATTCAGATGTAATTGATCTAGCGGAATAAGGTTAGTAACCTTGGCACCATACGGCCATATCGCATTGAAACAACTGTTATCTTCAGATAAGGAAGTTAAGCAACGTTGAACCCTGTCATTGCGTAAAAGGGTGACAATTTAGGAATGGCAGGTGCTGTCGGCTTTGATGTTCGGCTGGTGTAATGAATAACGGCTCAGGATGTGAAATCGGTGATCAGTTTTCCAATCGGCTTCGTTATAGAATTTTTTTTCCTAATCGGTATCACCTTATGCAGCAAAATAAAGACATTAAAACACAAGGAGTTAGAGGGTGTGGAAGAATTAAGAAGAGAAACATTAATAACAAACGGAAAGACGAAAGAATAATCAAGAGGACATTAGATAGCGATTAACACTAGATTTAAAAGTTTGTATATTTTAGTTGGCTGAAATGTATGGAACCGGAAGTGAGCTCCACAAGCGTGTAGTGCTAGAGAAGGAACTTTTAGCATAGAACTTACACCTACATCTAACCAGATCAGTTGGTGAGATCTCGATGCAATTCTAGTGCTCCGCTTAAATTCAGAAACTTATAGCTACCATAGCGAAGAGATTCGAATAATTGCCATGAATGTATTTATAGATAAGACATAGGGAGGCAACCTTACGACGGTGGAAAAGTGACTGGAGATGAGCAGCTAGATCAAGACCAGTAATATTTCAGATTATTCTTTCGATCTTATCCTAGAACTATAGGCAAATTACAGGGGCACCGGACCATATGTGGTAGCGATAGTCTGAGGACGGACAAATGGTAAAAATTGTCTCGCTTTACATAGTGAACCGACTTTCTTAACAGCTGACCTAACGATGGATTCATATAGTCTTTCCACTTCATATCAGCGGAGAACGTGGTTCCGAGAACTAACGGAGAGAAATTTAGTTTTGGAGGCGTTAAAATAAACAAGCCATCTTTCGCTCCGGTTAACGACGGACTTGAAGTCGTTTTGGACATCCGCAGCCATTTTGACCTTGTTAAGCCTTACTATCGAGCCTGGAGAAAAATGTTGAGTCGTCCGCGTAGATACAAAGTTCAGAGCTGATGACATCAGGAAATGGCCATTCAAGATAACACTCATTTCACAATGTGATAGCAAAAAAAAAAAGGACCATTTCAAAAAAGTGTCTCGAGACACCGTAACTTTTCAGCTTTATAAGAAGACCTGAATTCCAGACTCTGTCAAAGGCGTTCGAGATGTCCAATGCAACAGGCCGGAATTCACCGTTTTTATCTAAAGTATAATAAATTCTTTCCGCCAAATATCGTCAGTACATAAGCAGTTAACCTGGAAAAACTAATGCCATATTGCCTGTAGAGTATTATGTATATTTATTAATACATACTGTTTATTGAGCACTGTTTTATTTGCAACAAAGGATACACATAGATAGATAGATAGATAGATAGATAGATAGATAGATAGATAGATAGATCGACCGACCGACCGACTGACCGACTGACCTAGTGCGCCAGACAAACCTACCCTGGTTTTACCTAAGCGGATCGTCAAGGAAAGCTGGCTAAAAAGGCAAAAAAGAAACAGAATATTTATAGACGATAATCAATATTTACTCGTGTCGGGGTTTTTTCTTTGGGCTTTAAACCTGTATCTGTGCGATTTTTTCGACAGACTTTCATGTTTCTAGCTCTTTCTTTTTTTAAAACCTTTTTTTCATTCGATATTGATTTGATTATTGGCAAATCAAAAATTCTAAGGTTTTTCGAAACGAGTATAGTTACCTATATATATATATATATATATATATATATATATATATATATATATATATATATATATATATATATATATATAAAGAAATATAGTCTTAAGGTGTGCTATATTTATGGAATAAAGTGCTCAATATCAGAGATAGAGCGTGTGTAAATATAAAAAGTGAACATAGAAGTCAACATTTGACTATATGCAATCGTCAGGCCTGACGATTGCATATAGCATGAAACGGACTGTCGCCTCTAAGTGTTGAATTCTATGTTCACTTTTATATATATATATATATATATATATATATATATATATATATATATAATTAAAAATAAGCGAAGGTCTTCTTAGATTTAGGATTCTTTTTACCAACACATCGTCAGAAAAGGACAATTTCCGCAGTAAATTAAAACGTGAGGTGAGGAAAGAATATTATGGAAGACGATTAAAATATATTTATTGGTAATAGAATTTACGAATAGAAAAAATAAGTAGTACTCCCGAATCTCCTAAAAGATTGAGGGAACGAATGAAATGCTCCTTCTGTTTGTACAGAGCTGGTTGATGTAACTTCATATAGACCGATTGAAGGAGAAGTAAATGATGAGCGGCAATTTTGACTTCAAAAATGATTACAAATTAACTCTATCCAGCCGGGCTTAACCATAAATTTAACAATATAGATAGGACTAATATATAACCCTACAAATCAAAACCTACCCACATTTCTCACCCACACAAGACAGACATGCTTATGGAGGTGTTGAGGCCTACACACACCCACACGAATATACACACTTACACACATCATACTCACTCACTCTCTAATGAACCAAATGATAACACACAACCATAGTAATATACACGCTTACACACATCATACTCACTCACTCACTCCCTAAGAGCCAAATAACACACAGAGACACATCCCCTGTCCAGGAACCAATAAAACTGTCAGCATGAACAAGGGAATTCAGAGCAGCATGAATCCTTCCAGCTCTTATCTCAAATAACAACTTAAAAGAGTCTGTTTGACCAACACAAAGACTGACCAAAATTCGCGTTAAAAAAAACAAACAAATGAAAACTACAGACAAAAGTTCATTTTCTCCATCAAGACATTCATTTCTGTAGTTCACTGCTACCAGCAAGTAGAAAATTATTTTTCTCCTGATGATGAACATGTTGACCGAAACTAGTCGAGAAATCTAAATGAAATAATAATAAAAAGGAAGGAATATTAATATACAACCCAGTGTGTCTGAAGATTTTAATTTTTTTATTATTTTTTATTCTTCAACATATATATATATATGTATATATATATATGAGTGTGTGCGTGTGTGCGTGTGTGTGTGTCTGTATTTATAACTTATTTATTAATTTGTTATATTTGTTACGATATATCTCATAGATATTTCGTGACTTGCCTTCTTTCATACATTGCATTAATTATTAAGCATTTTCTAAAATTCTTTTTGAATTTGATTCGAAATTAATTAATTTATTTTTAAAATTCTTGTTTTATATTCATTACTTCTCAGAAAAGAATGAGATAGATAGATAGATAGATAGATAGATAGATAGATAGATAGATAGTATATGTCTATATTTCTGAGATGAGGTATTATGTACATTATTTACATTATTCGGACTATTGTCCTCATCTTTGTCACCATATTTATTACAACGTTTCGGCCGTTGTACGCTCCGGTCTTCTTCAGGTGGTTGGAATGTCGAACTGAACCCTTTATTTTGTTCACTGGGGAAGACTGTTCTAGTTCTAGATAGATAGATAGATAGATAGATAGATAGATAGATAGATAGATAGATAGATAGATACGAACACATTTGTATAGATGGAGGAATGATTGTAGTGCGTAGGAAGAGAGAGAAAGAGAGGAAGAAAGATTTGATTTTCAGATTTATTAACTATTCGTACACATGTGATAATACTACTACTTCTACTACTACTACTAATAATAATAATAATAACAATAAAAAGAAGAAGAAGAAGAAGAACGATGAAGAACTTTTATACATTTTCAATTCTTGCAGTATTTAAAATTATTTCGCCGTTGTGAATCTGTTTTTTCTTTTGTTCTCTGTATCTGTTTTGAAAAGAATGTCATTCCAAACAAACGAGCTGGTAAAATCGAATCAATTGCTTGATTACAACGTTCATTTTATCAAACTCCATTACGTTGCGGGAATGGGGTAAAAACGCTTGTAAAAACACTTGTCAGCTCTTTTAAAATCTCCTTTCTGTCGATGGACTGGAGGTCAGAATAACAAACGCAATCTCAACATCAATTATGCAGTTTATTAACGGATTTCGAATATCGGTTTGGAAGATGGATCGACAAAGATGGCGGCCATAATGAGTATGGCGGCTATAATAAAGAGACAGTATTTTTAAATTGCATAATGAATAAAAGTTTAAATTCTGAATGTTCATTTTTTTTTTTTTCTTTTAAATTATGACAAGATACGGTGTCCATTATAAACACTGCGTTTTCTAGTTTAAATCAGGTCCTTCTTTAGCTATATAAAAAATAAAAAAATCTGATGTTCGGATACTGGTCATCCAATGAGGTATGTTTGCTTACCAAAGGTATATATATATATATATATATATATATATATATATATATATATATATATATATATATATATATATGATGAGTTGCAACAAGAAAACGGGCTGTAGGCCGCCCTGAACTGAATTTTAAGGATGTCTGCGAGGGCGTCTTGAAATTCACAAAAGTTGATACAGATAACTTACGTTGGGGCTAATCGAGAAGACATCAATAGAGACGAAGACAGGCGTAAGCTTCAGATGGAGAACGGAAAACGACAAATGGCGCAAAGAGGTCAAAATCAAGTTCACGCTCTACTCTTTCATTAATGGCGAGAAAGATTGTCATTGAAGAATTGAATTTCATTTCTCTCAGCTAGATTGATTCTACCTAATTAGGGCATTAGCTTTATCTTAGGAGATAAATATTTGCCAAGCAATAAAATAAATCTGTTTGAATTTCTGGGATAAGGAGTTATTAATGATCACGAAACCCGTAACCGTTAGCAAGAAAATCTGACGGAGCTGAACCATCTCCAAGGTGTATTTGAATTTAGAGTTTTCCTTCTCTTAGAATAGTTGCCAACCAATGCTGTAAGTCCCAGTCTATCCTTTTATGTACCCACAGCTGAGCGCAGAAGATATAGATTCATAGGTTTCCTAAAAGGGCCATCAATAAAATCATATAATGAACTCGACTAGAATTCGAACTCGGCTCTCAGGTTCCTCAATCCAAAACTGTCCATTACTCCGACATGCCACCTTGGCACTATTTACATTCAGACGATTGTCCTCACTCTGTTGTTGTTATTAAAACGTATCGGCAGTTGTACCCTCTGACTTTTTATCGGGTGCAAATAGATCTGGGTAAGTTACGGGGATTTACGAAATTAACACTTTATTTAATCTACGAGGGTAGAACGTTCTCGTTCACTACAAATATCTAGCGATATCTTGTCTAGTTCTTATTTTCTTAAATTATGCTCAGTTATTGCTCTCACTGGTCCACACTGAGTCAAAATCCACACTAACCAGCCCGGGGATTTAATTCACCAAATTTATGAACCAACGGTTTAAGCGGATATATTCCGGAGAACATTGTGGTAACAAGAGTAAGGATAAATAATAAAGTCTACTTTAGTGAATATTGTTATGATCTATCAACGCAGTTACGATGAATGTCAGTTCTTTCTTGGTAGATGTAAAGCAAAAGCACACATTTACATGAAATGTTATTAATTGCGAAGTCTTAAATTAATGACCGCGATTATCACTATAGATAAAGAAAAACTGTTTAATAATGTTTACAAATGATTCATATCGTCACTGTTTTCAAACCATTAAACAACTTGAGGGACTTTAAACAAAAACCAGAGAAAACGAATGGTAAGTAATGGTAAGAGGGAAGATTACCCACACCCAGCCGGCCAAAACATTACTAGGAGTTGTTTCCGGACTGAAAAAAGAAGATAAATGAAACACCACATCTTTTATACCGATTTGATGATGGGGATACAAATACGAGACTAATTCCCTCAATAGGGATCTTTTTAAGACATGATTTAAACTGAGAAACGCATAATTTAAAAAGTTTAACGAGTAAAATATAAAAAAATGATGAACATTCAGAATTTAAACTTTTATTCATTATGCAAACCAACTACTTAATGTCACACCAACAACGTGCACATCACAATCACGGACTAAGGTGAAGTACATATATTTCATTTCCTTTTCAGAACTACCGTAAATAGAATGTTATTTTCCTTTTCATTTCCTAGTTACTTTTTCTTTTTAATTTTTTTTTTTTTAAATATTGTGTTGTCCGGAAAGTTCGTGCCGATTTTAACGGAAATTAAAATATAACATATGACGTGAAATATTTATTCAACTAAATATAAATCATTTTCTTGCACAAACGTTCTCCATTTTTCCTTCAACTTAAAGGTTACATCACCCAAGAATTCTTCTTCTTTCTCGGCAAAGATCTCATTAACGTGTTTTTTATGTCATTCAAAGAATTAAACTTTTTAGCATTGAGATTATTTTATAAGAACCTGAAAAATGAAAATCCGAAGGAGCAATGTCCGGTGAATATGGCAGGTGGGTTAACACATCCTAGCCAAGCTGCAACAATTTTTGTCGGGTCTGCAAAGAAACGTAAGAACTGTCATTATCCTGATGGGAAACAGCAACTTTCTTGATCGCCAATTCGGGTCGGTTTTCTTTCATTTCTGCCTTTAATTAGTCCAGTTGCGAGCAACACATTCCAGAATAAATGAACTGCTAACTTGGTTGAAACTCTTAATACAAGATTCCTTTCCAATCCCACCAGATTCACAGAATGACATTCTTGGGATGATGACCTGCTTTTGAGGCGGCTAAAGTTGGCTCAGATCGCTCACCTCAGGATCTTTCTCCCTCCACACCTTTTGAAAATGATCCATTTCTCATCACTATAATTTGCTTCATTGCAATTATACGGTAAATTACAGATGAAATGCGACTCAAAAGATTCTTTTCACTCAGATCATGTGGTCCCCAAACATTGTAGCTATTTGGGTAATCAAGGTTCATTAAGTGCTCATAGGCATTGGAATTTGATACATTTACTGTTTCTGCCAATTCCCACGTTGTGTAATGTGGGTTATTCTCAATCAATGTTTTGATTACGTCGTCATCTGTAGTGGCTTGTCTGCCTGAGCCTTCTTTTTCAATAAGGCTACAATCACCAAATCTAAACTTAGCGAACCACTTCCGTATAGTTCTGTCAATTAAAATACCTTCACTGTACACACCATATATCTTTTTTGTACTTGCGAGGCATTTTTCTTCTTTACGGTAAAAAAATCAAATATCTAAAATACACTTTATAATCTTCTATTCTCATAGGAATCCAAAATTGACAGGAATTAAGTAATTTTAATCTTTCTTTAAGATAGTTTGAAGTTTGGTTTAATCGGAAATCTAAGCATATTATATGTGTTGAAGAATTTGACGTGTTCTAAAGTGTTGGAACATGAAAATAAAAAAAAAAACATTCAAAATCGGCGGGATCTTTCCGGACAACTCAATACATGTGAAAATCTTCCACAATTGAAATGCATTTCTTTTGAAAACATTGTATTCGTTTCTTTTGAAAGTGTTGAATCCATTTACTTTGAACGTTTCCCGCCTCATTTCAAACAAGTCAACCTACAGTAACCCTAACCCATTTCAATCCTGTAACAATCTTCACTACAATTGAAGAGTCCAATTCAAATCTGATATGATCAGTTTTTGTTTTTTTTTGTTTTTTTGGGGGTTTTTTTTTTTTGGTTTTTTGTTGTTTTTTTGGTTTTTTGGTTTTTGTTTTTTTGTTTTTTTTGTTTTTTTTTTTTTTTTTTTTTTTTTTGTTTTTTTTTTTTTGTTTTTTTTTTTTTTTTTTTTTGTTTTTTTTTGTTTTTTGTTTTTTTTGTATTTTGTTTTTTTGTTTTCTTTTTTTGTTTTTGTTTTTTTGTTTTTTTTTGTTTTTTGAATTTTTGTTTTTTGTAATTCTCGATTTCGAGTCCGTGTAAAATTAACATAGCGGTAAACGATGCACCACGATCATCATCATCATCATGACGTGACACGTATTCCATTAGGGTCTTAGGGTCAGTACATGTACTGCAGCTATAGCAGTAGTGGTGTGTCTTGATAACCTGACAGAGTCAAATCCTGTACAGGCAGATTTGAATTTATAATTATCTTTTTCTTAGATGTGTTACCGAGCAAGGCTATTGGGTGTGGCGAGTGCTGCTTTTGAATCCCAGCTACGGGGGAGAACAGATAGATTTATACGTTTCCCAACCGTACTGAGGCTTAGGCACACATCACATTGAAACACCGGTTCCCGTACGATCAATGAAGTTAAGCAACGTCCAACCTGGTTAGTACCTTGATGGGTGACCGCTTTGAAATGCCAGGTGCTGTAAGTTTGACTATAATTTAATGTGAGGTGGCGTTAATCGATTTAGAACCGAGTTCAAATTCAGGCCTCTCCTTTGCCTACCAAGCTATGGGTTATAAAGTAGGAGCTGTATCACTAAAAGCAGTATTATATAAAAAAAATAAATAAACAAAATTTCGTACAAAATAATTTAGAATTCGGCGGTAAATAACCCTTGGTTGATATGCCGATGGACAACAACGTACCGACAACATTTGTGAGATGCTGAATGTAACAAACCCGACTGGAAATCAAACTCGGTTCTCCAATTCCTCATTACGGGCCACGATTAAGACAATCCTTGTGAGAGAGACAGACAGACAGTGACAGTGAGAGATAGAGAGGGCCAGAGACTGAGAGAAAGAAAGAGAAACAGAGATGGCCAGAGAATAAGAGAGATAGAGAGGGCCAGTGACTGAGAGAAAGAGTGAGTGTGAAAGAGAAACAGAGAGGGTCGAGAGACTGAGAGAAGGAGAAACAGAGAGGACCAGAGAGAGAGATAGAGAGGGCCAGAGATTAAGAGAGAGAGAAGGAGAAACAGAGAGGACCAGAGACTGAGAGAGAGAAAGAGAAATTGAATAGAAATTATTCATTTTATGTTTCCGGTTCCCGGATCCTATTGCAAATAATTTATAACTATTAATTAAGAGTTTTCCGCATGACGTCGTAAGCTGATTGGTTGTTGATTGTAACCAATCAGAATGGGAACTTGCCAACGTTTTATTTTTTAAAAAAACAAATGGAAGAAAAATTTCTTTCAGTCTCTATCTTCAATTATAATCTGATTTCTTCTGCAATGCTTTATCGTTAAAAGCATCAGATTAGACCAACAACAGACTATATTAAAATCTCTGACCAGGAGCTGCATAATCCTCACATTCTAACGTTGAAAGATTTCAAAATTTTTAATGTCTCTTTGTGGATACTTTTTTATTTTCCTTTCTACAACCGTCTTTCTCGCATAGGCAAAGTTGCAAGCATGTTATTGTTTCCATGGTAATAATTCAAATAAGCTTCATTGATTGATCTATTCGTTTTTTACGGCTTGTCAGCACTTTGAATGTTATTTAAAGCCAGAAAATATGTTTAGACTGTAAGAAGTTTTTGGATTCAATAATGGTTTAGTGATAAAAGACTTACTAATTAAACTGTATATTTTCCCAAAGGTATTTGTGCGTGAATGAATATAACGAACCTTACGTATATCGGGAATTGGTCCTCTGGTTAACAATTCCGAGTCATTATCAATTATACCAGCCACACAGCTAAACTTACAGCACTTTTTGTTTCCAAGCGGTCACCCAACTAGGTAATTACTTGCTTAATTGCTTAACTTCCGTGATCGTTCTGGTGTTTTAACACGATGTAGTCGCAAGTCATAAACGAACTTCATTATTTGATTTCTTCTGTTCAGCATTTAGAGCAGTGATTCTCAACGGGGCACCTTAAATTTAAAGGTGAGCCTGAGGAATATTTTGAATCAGCTTGTAGACACCTACAGTTGGGTAGTCATTAGTCGGGATTTATATTTTCTACTAGATTTTGCTTTTGTAAATAAAATGTATTCCCTATTATCTGTGATTTCTATCTGTGGTTGAATTTGTGTCTGACCTGTTAATGTTTACGACACAAAAAATAGGCGAAAAGGAAGAAATGGCCTTGAAACATTCTAGAACGCGAATATGCCACGCCAGATACAAAGAGCTAAAGCATCCAAATATAAAAAGAAAATGCTGCTCACATATCTTGTTCACTATAATTACCACGTTTTAGAATAGATTCTCGCATGGTGGCTTCCTTCAAGATTACAATCATGACCTCTTCAATGAAGAGTTAATCGTCATTATTTTTTTGTATCTTCATAATATTAATTAAGACATTTTTTTCCATTTCATATGACACTGTTTATTCAGCATCATTTCAATTTTCTTCAACGTGTTACATATACCATATAACCCAGTACTATCTGGGGCATCCGCCATCAGAACTTTTTCGTCAAAAAGGAACAGATGGATTAAAAACAAAAATCATGTCAAAGTGCGTATGATCTTCTTGTAAGTCAACAGCCATTGAGCACAATGCCTAGACTGGGCTCCATAGTCAATTGATTTTTTTTTTTTTTTTACAGTAGTGTTCAAATTGTACAAGGTTACTCCTGGTAAAAGAGATATAATGCATTTTAACAATCTGCTCGTAGCGGCTTCCTTGAATACACCATTCTTGACATTTTCAATCAAGGGTCAATTGTTGATGGTCCTTATCATCGCCAAATTGATTAATTTCGACATTTGCTTCCATTTCATATCACACTGCTCAGAAAATGCCGCTCAGACATCTTGTTCTCTATAACTACCACATTGTGCAACAGATTCTCGGGTGCTCGCTTCCTTCAACATTACAATCATGACCTCTTCAATGAAGGGTCAATCGTCATTATTTTTTCTTATCTTTATAATATTAATTAATTAAGACATTCTTTTCCATTTCATATCACACTGCTCATTCATAACCGCATAGTGTCATAAGCTGATTGGTTGTTCATTGTGACCAGTCGGGACCAGTAGACTGGCCAATCACGTGGATAAAAAGAGTTTACGTTTCAAATGTTTAACGAATTTGTCATCCACTTTTTCGTTGAATTTCTTTAAAGAATACTCTCGAATATTTTCATATCTTTAGAAAAATATAGAGACAATATATATCTTTTCAACGAGGAATATCACGGTGTTAAAAAGAAATGCTCGAACCGAAATTCGAACACAGTATGCCAAATCACTCATGCACATAGCACCATTCGCGATCAACTCGATATGGAAAGGCAAAAACTAATATGCGTGTGCTTAACACTTCTTTATAAAAGAAAAGAAAAACTATGTCCATTATAGCTGCTATCTTGTTCGTACAAAAATACCCACAATGCATTGGAGTAGCAGAAGATATGGATTTGTTTTTATTCTGAAATCAGCCAGTTGCAGTTTATAAAAAGAAGGGATTTTTAAGCTTTTCTTCCAATGTTACATCGATGTAGTTTATAGCATCGCTTCAATGGCTCCAATCCGATTGAGTTAGAAGTGAGACCACGCATCACTGAAGATGATACAAGAGCGGATATGTGACAGAGATGGAGATTTAGACATCTGGAAACATCCCTATCGTGTTTAATATGAAATTAGCATTTCAAAGGAAGTAAATTGCAATAAATCCAGAGAAAAGTATAATTTATTCTGTGGAGGTATTTCAATACATTGCAATAATAATTTCTCGTGCAGTTTAATCTCAAAAGATCAAAGTTGGGTGATTTAAAATAAAAAAAAGAAGCATAAGTTTTACACATGGCCAAATTAAGTTTTACGGTCACAGAAAGCGATTATATCCCTTTGGTTGAGATGTAGTCCCGAGAGTCACGCGACGGCTGCTTAGTAACGTCAATTCATACCGAACAGTTGCATTTTAGCACTGGCGAGGCCTTGCTTTTCGTTGTCCAGATCGAGGCTAAATCAGCCGCATTCCACTCAGCTGGCACGTGATGCGGCTTACAAGACCATGGCGACGTTTTCCCTTGGAAATATATTTTCACCGGGCATAGAAACTGTCTACGTGGCGCTGTCCTCATGTTGTGAAAAAAAACCACATGAGTCGCTGTTTCCTGTTTCAGAAGAATATGTCCTTACTAGTGACATGGATTTTAAATCCGGACCGCTCGAATATCCACCGTGAATCATAAATATAGCTTCTCCATAAACACATAAAATATTCCAACAGTTCCCATTTGTAACTATTACAATTAAGTCTCTGTCTTTTCGTTCTAGACTGTTTATTCTTTCCATAGATATGTTATAGATATACATCTTATTTAGGCCCTGTGGACCTTAAACTCGACCCAGATATCAAGGGGAAATCGTATATATGATCTATCACTAAAGATTCAGGAATCGGTTCCCAATAACTGCATCTCTTTACATTTTATAAATGTCAAATATTTACTAAACTAAGCTTAACAGAGTCCAATATCATGTTATGCCAATTTACCCATGCACGCATAGTCTCTTCCAGCTATAAATAAGAGCAGGTACTGCTTTTTCTTGTCCAGATCGACGCTAAGTCAGCCCCACTCCAGTCAGCTAGCACGTGATGCGGCTTACAAGACCATGGCGATGTTTTCTCTTAGAAATATATTTTCACCGGACATAGAAACTCTCTGTGTCGCGCTGTCCTCATGTTGGGAAAAACACATGAGTCGCCGTTTCATGTTTCAGAGGAATATATCGTGAAACTACCCTCCTCTAGGAAGGTCGTTTGCAGCAGTCAAGTCCAAGTACCGTGTCAAGAACATTCAACGGCAACCAACTTTATTTGTAATTTTAGCCTTTCTAAAAAAAACTCACATCTCCAAGAAATAATATATTTTTTATATAACTGACGATTAATCCCTCCAGATCTCCAAAACATATTTATTTTATTAAATCAATAAACATAGACATATTAATAAAACATTCATAAAAAGATGGGTAATATATATATATATATATATATATATATATATATATATATATATATATATATTAAAAAGAAGGGGGTGCCGCAAACGTTTTTTGGTTGTAATGTGGATTTATTGAGAAAAATATTATACTTTGTTTTACATAATTTCACGACACGTGTTTCTGGTCTCGCAACCGTCTTCAGGTGAAAGTGGAGATTTCTACATATTATTAAAAATAATTAATTTTTCTTCATGTTCAATGTGAAATATTCTCGATATGAGACATTCTGTTTGTGTGTCTTCTTTTTAATATACATACTTTTCTCTCGTTGGAACCACTACAACATATTTTTTTTATATATATATATATATATATATATATATATATATATATATATATATATTAGCATAAATTGCTAATACAGAAATATAATATAGAGTGTTTCATTAAGATGGATAAAAGTCAACAGTAAATAAATCAGTGTTATTGGTGGACATTTATGATTTCTCTATTGAATTATGTTATTTAAGTCATAGCAATTATGTGTAATAAATAATATTGCCCAAATGTCTGCCAAGGCTTCGGCGGCGCACCTCCACTTGATGGTCAAAATTTTTGATGACGTCTCTGCATAGCTGCTCCTCGATCTCACCAATATGCCTTATTATCTCATCCTTCAGCTGTTGAATTGTTGTTGGCTTGTTGGCATAGACCTTACTTTTGAGATGACCCCAAAGGAGGAGAAATCTAACGGCGTCAAATCGCACGATCTTGGTGGCCAATAGACTTCGCTGTTTCGAGAAATGATGCAACCTGGGAACTTCTCATTGCATTTCTTTTTGAACGTCTATTTTCGTAATTGTCTTCGATAACTTTAACAAGTTGTTTGATTGTTAATCTTTTCAAGGTTGTAAATACCAAAGACTTCAGTTGTTAAATCTGAAAGATAAAGAAAAAAAATCATGAGACGCTTAAACTTAATCCGCATTTAAAATCCGTTCAAGTTATTGGAATACCCTTTATATACTTGGGGTATCCATGAAAATTTCCCGGTTTTCCTAGTTTAATTTTCTGATGAACCTCAATTATTAAGTTAATGAGTGTATAAGGTC